TGAGGGTAAGAGAGAAAGAATCCTGTCAGGAGGCAACAGACTCATCCTTAATTATGAGACAAGGCTTCCCGGAGCTGACATCCTCTCCCACACTTTCTCCCTGCTGCAGACACGCCACAGATGCTGGTGTAATGCTCCTCTAATGAGTGCAGTCAATTTTCCTAAGCATAGGAAGCTTGGTCCTTTGGGGGAACTTCTCCCACCATCCCTAGCCCCAAATCACACCCAGGCTCTTGATGATGAGGGTGAAGCATCATAATTTAATTAACAGTCTACTCGGTCACGCTGGAAGCTAGAAAATCACTGCCTCGCTGCTCCTAACGGGCTCGACTCCATCCTCTTGTTCCCTAAAGGAGTGTGAACAAGGTACCAATCCTCTTGGATAAAGGTCCCTTGCTTAAATTTATATTAGAGCTCAAAACAGTAGAAAGAGCCCTGATACAAGAGTCAGAACCTGGGTTCTAGTCCTTATTTTGACACTTGTGCATTGGAGGGCTAAGAAAACCACTGCATCCCTCCGAGCTTCTACTTGCTCAACTGCAAAATGGGAAAGAAGAGGAAGCACTCCCTAGCTTGCAGTTAAGCACAGCAGCCAAGAATGCCCTCTGAAGTTATGCTACCTGGTTCCTAGCAGCACAGGAACTGTTTCACTGGTTGTAAAACCTTGAACAATTTACCCTCTGAGCTTTAAGTGTCCTCATCTGTAAAATGTACCTACTTCAGAGGGCTGTTTTAAGAGCTAACTATGAAGGATTAAGAAAAGCTTTCATTACTGTACCTGGACCTTAGCTTTCCCAATAACTGTCAGTTAGCCCCATTACAATCATGATTAATGGAGGATGGGGTAAAAAAAATCTCCACAACTAGGAATTTATTTCAAGGATAAACAACTTAGAAGTAGGTGGACCCCTTTTTTAGATAGGTTTCCAAGAAATGAGTCAATATCCCAAGGCAACTCTGAAGACAAGAAATATAAATGAGGGAATAGATAAGGAGTTACTTGCATCCTTAAGCAAGGTTGAAATGCTCACCAAGCCACCTGCCACTAATTCCAAGAACTCAGTAGTAATTCAAGACTTTTGTGGGAAAAAGAATACAGAGCCACACTTCCCCTTTTCCATAAAATTAATTTTTCCAGTGCTTCTCTTCTATAGACAACTAAGAAAGGCAGCTGACTCCATCTTTTTAAATACTAAAAAAATACCTGCTCAATCTGAGGCCTTCTGTTGGAGGGTAAAAATATTTAAAAGAGAAACATAAAAGTTGAGGCAAGCGTTTACAGAGACTCTGGTCTAAACTGTTTTTAAATTAATCAAGTTCTAACAAAGACATAAAGGCTTTCCTTTACCATAAGTTTCATTTTCAAATCAAAATAAGAACAGGTAGAAAATTCACAAAGGTATACATAAATCTCACCTGGTAGCCAACCTTGTGCAGCAACAGCTAAGATGGGAATTACGCTCAAAACAAATCAAATCATGTTTGACTGAAGCCATTCTCAATCTTAGCTCCTCAATTATTCAGTACTTCTATGAAGTTCTATACAATTAAAAATAGCCTGTTTATGGACTGCTTATCTGCATAGGACCATGGCGGGAGAGGGGGAGAGGGAGGGAGAGGGAGGAAGGGGGAGGGAGGGGGAGGGAGAGGGAGGGAGACGGAGGGAGAGGGTCTTAGTCAGAGGCAGAAAGAGAGAGAGAAAGATGGGGGCAGGGTAGGGAGGGAGAGAATATGTACCTAAAAGTTGGATGTGATCCAGTTCTTCATTTAAAAAATTATAAAATAAGAATTTTTTAGCCATTTGTTAAAGAGAAAGATGTATAAGCCACTTAAAGAGTGGAGCTTCAAGAGATTGAAAAAAGGAATATAAAACTATAACCTCACTGTAGTTTGAATGGAACGTTTACAGCCCTTGAAAGCATCTCGCCCATTAAAGTGATGATGCTATCATCTTAGAAGTGCTTTCCAAAGCTGTAACAATAAGCTGTCCTTCGCTTCCCCTATGAAACTGACACTAAGCATCTGCAACAGAGATATTCTTCCTATGACAACATCCTATGCATGGTTATTCTCAGTTTGCGTTGACTGCTTAGATTTAATTTGCCTTGCTGGTACAGAAAGAATAACTCAACATGTCCACTGCCACCCTCCTTGTGGACTGTCCACGATACTGGCCTCATTCCTGTTGATTATAACTGCCCCCCCTTTTTATTTTGTACTGGGGATTATTGAACTCCGGTCCTTGCTCTTGCAAGGCAGGCCACTGAACCGCTGAGCTAAATCCCCAGCCCTGATTATACTCCTTTGCTTTCAGCCCCCAAAATTGCTGCCTGTCTACTATGTATCAGGCACAGGACCAGGAATCAGTGCTCCCCCGAGAAGTTTACGGAACAAAGAGGATACCTACTTAAATAGGTAACGGGAGCCATGGGTAACTTATTTCTTACATTTATTCCCCAGACTAAATCATTTTGTTTCTTGATCATTTTCTTTTTTATTCTTTTCTGGTTCCCTCCCTCTGTTTAGCCCTTGAGAAATTCTCATATATATTTCTGATAGCTCTTCCCTGGACACTCGAAACTGCTTTTCTTTTTTAAGAGTGAGTATCCTTCAAACTTAAGATAGCTTTCCAAAAACACTGCTTCCATTTAATTCTCCTTTTCAAGAATATATCAGAGTAACCTATAGCCTCACATAGTAAATCTAAACTTCTCTGCCTGGCTTCCCATGTGCCCTATTAATGTTCCCTCAATACAAGCTCAGAGTTTTTCCCAGTCTTTCCTCTTACATTTAGCTATTTTCCTCACTGTATTTTCAGGTCTGCTCTTTTTCTAAAAATGTATTTACAACCAATGGATTACAGTCCACTTGTTAGTTCCAGGTATTTGGGAGGCCGAGATGGAACACAAGTTTAAGATCAACCTGAGCAACATAGCAAGCATCCCATCAAACAAACAAAAAAACTTCAAAACAATCAATGGGTTCTTAAACTTCTTTCAATCTGTCCAAGTGCTACAACATTCAGATCAAATACCCACTCTGTTTCTGAATTATACTGGCTCTCAGTATAAATTCTAAAACATTTCTTCAAGAAGTATTGATTTTGCTAACTGAATGCAAATGGATTTAGAACAATGACTCCAAGGCTTGAAAACTCAGTGGCAAATATGGGGAAACTTTTCTGACAAATTCACTCATATTTTAGAGCAGCAGTAAATATTAGACTCTGTGGCCATATAGACTCTGTTGTAACTACTCAACCGCCCTACTTCTGCGTGAAGACAGCCACAGATCACATGTAAACAAGCAGATATAGCTGTTCTTAAAAAATAATTATTTATAGAAACAGATGGTGGGTAACTCTGGCTCTCTAGCCTTAGTTTGCTCGCTGCATGCTGGAGGGAAAAGAGTGGGTCCAGGTAAGGATCTACTTTTTCAGTTGGCAAAAGACAATCAGAAGTCCCCTGTTAGCATCTTTTCTTCTCTGGGCAGCGCATCTTGCTCCTTTAGGATAGTATGTACCACAGAAGCAGTCCCTGCCTAGAAGTCATCTCCGTGGGAATGTGGGCTATGACCATCTATCTGTTTCACCTATTTTGGTCAAAGAAGAAGACATAATGAAAGCTAGTTGTCTGCTTTTGTCGGAGACATGGCGAGGACAGAGTAAGTCGTCTCATTCTTCTACTGTCCTCCACGCTGGCAAGAGGCGCACTCATTAGAATCTGAGGGCATGATAGCCAGACGTGGTGGTGCACACCTGTAATCCCAGAAACTCGGGAGGCTGAGGCAGGAGGATCGCTGTGAGTCCAAGACCCGCCTGGACTACATAGTGAGTTCCAGGTCAGTCTCAACTACATAGTGAGGCCCTGTATCAAACCCCCCCCCCAAAAAAAAGAATCTGCGGGCATGAGAGTTGCCTCTTCATTCACACTTCCATATGCAAGGCACTACTCTGTCACTTTAATCTTCACGTCATTCCTGTAATATGAGGATTTGTCATCATGTGTGTTATCCAGATAGAAGAAATACAAGAGGTCTCAGTCAGTGTTACCCACTGATTTGCTGTAGAAATGGTCTCGGTATTTACAGAGGTGAGTTTTGGGCATTGCTCATATCATATCAAGAGCTCTTCTTTTAATCTGTGTGGAATAATATAAAGTTGGCCTTCCACATCCACAGATTTCTTATCCATGGATGCCTCAAATGTGGAAGGAAAATATATGTTGAAAAGTGTCTGTAATGAATACGTCCCAGACTTTTTACCTTGACATGATCGCCTGAATGATACAGTGTAACGACTGTTTACTTAATATAACTAATACTCTAGAAATGTTATGTAATCTAGAGATGATTTGCAGTACACAGGAAGGAGGACGTGCATAGGCTATATGCAAACACGAGGGCATTTTACATAAAGGACTTGACTGAGCATCTCTAATTTTGCTGTCTGCAGGGGATCCTGGAACTAATCTCTTATGGCTTCTAAGTGATGCCTATAACAAAAATTAACACAATACCTTTAGTCTTTATAATGAATCTTCAAAGGGTATATCTTTTCTTTTTTCCCATTTTATCCATGGAAAATATGGCTCTAGAGATTAAGTAGTTTAATCCACCTTTCCTATTTAGAAAAGTCAAACTGAGGATTCAAACCCAAGCCAGTTTGGTTCAAGAAATACTTGGCAAATTCCTTCAAAACCCTTTACTTCTTTGATAACCCTGATCTAAGAGCACAAAGTTCAATGTCTTTTAGAAAGCCCCAAATAACTACTCCATGAACGGCAAGGAATTAAGTCAGAGTTATGGGACTGGTGTTCTGGACGTGGGCCTCAGACAAGCAGAGACAGACCAGCACCTGTGACTGGAGAACCAGTATTTAGCAGGAACAGCAGAAGTGGGCACAGGCCCTTGTCCTTCAGTCAAGCACTCTGGCTGCCCCTTTTGATCCCAACAGCATTAAGTGGCTCCCACACACACTACGGGGGAAGGCATGTTCTTACCAGCCTGTCATGTTGAAGTCCCTGTACAGCATCTTCTTTCCAAGTTCCTTTCTCTGTACTCTCCTTGGAAACTCCAAATGTGTGAATTCATTTCCTAGCAAGTGAGGCTGCATGAATGCCTAATAGCAAAAAGAGGAAGAAAAAAAAGTCACATACATATTTAGAAGAAAAAATAAGATTCAAAGATGTTTTGCAAACCGAGACAGGCCATGGTTCACAAACAAGAAAAATCATCTTATATTTTAGGAAAAGTAGAGATTGCAGAATTTAAACATCAACAGAAGACAAGCAAAATCCATGCACTTAATTTATAAAGGAATGCTACATTTTTATTTGATGTGAAGAGCTATTTATAATCAAAGACACTAATATCTAAAGGCATAAAGAGAAACTGAGCTTCTTCAAAGTTTTTTTTTTGGTAATGGGGATCAAACTCAGGTCCTTGCGCTTGGGAGGCAGGTGTCAGAACCACTGAGCTAAATCTCTGGCCCCACAGTTCACTTTTTACTTCAAATCTAGTATGGTGTTACTTTCCTGAACGGCATGTTGGTGAGATGGCGGGTAAGCAGGCTCACCCTGACTTTGCTCTCTTTGTTCACACTGCAGTTAGCTTGGCCTTGCTCCTGGAAGCTGCATGTGAGTGTGCAGTAAACAGGGCCTGAGGCCGCAGGGTGGGGCTGGATGCAACAGACAGAACCTTCTGCTGGACACCCTCCAGTTTGCTCTGCTGTCCTTTGCTCCTGTCACTGGAAGCCTATTCCGGAGCATATGGCTTCTCCCCTCCCCCAGACCTAGGTTCACACTACAAAACCCTTGAGCAAGCAGCCACTTAGGGGATTGCTTTGAAACAAGCAGTCTCGTCACATCCACAATTCAAATCTAGCTATCCAAGAGATGGAAGCTCATATTTTCACAGCCCTGCTCAGAGGTCACCCGCAGTCAGCATAATGCTGCAGAATTTCCAGCATGAAAACTGATGCTGGCATACCAGCAGTGTGGTGGAATGGGCCATCTCTCCTTTTTGGCGAGGAAAAAGAGTGGGCAGAGTCCATCACAGCCTGGCACTATCGGAAGGCGAAGGCTCCCTGCTATAGGACAGATGGCCATGTCCTCAGCTCACTGCTACTGCTCGAGTACCTCTTTATCTGAAACGCTTGGGATCAAAAGTGCTTAGCATTTTTTAATATTTTCATATGTGTAATATCTTGGAGATGGGACCTAAGTTCAAATATAAAATTCATTATACTTTATATACACCTTATGCACAAAGTTTGAAGCTACTTTTATACAATATTTTCATTGTACCTGTATGCTTTAACTGCAACTTGTCACATGAGGGCAGATGTGAAATTTTCCAGTTCTGGCATTATGTTAGAGCTCAAAAAGGATTTGGGGACATTAGAGAAGGTTTTGGATTTTTGGATCAGGGATGCTTAACCTACAAGAGGCATCTTCAACAGACTCTTTCCTAGGACCTGATGACAGCCAGTATCCCACTGGTGCTCATGGTAGTCTGAGGTACTAGTTAGATGTTAGTCATCCGAAGCTAAAATTATCAGGAGCCAAAGAAGTGATGTAACTCTGAGGCAGCAGTTATGGGCAGGATTGGGGACAGGGCAGGATGGGATGAGACAGGACAGGATGACTGGGAGTAAAAAGAGGATTTATGTCTCCCTGTTTGCTCCAACTCTAGTAGGCTCCAGGCTTGGTGGGAATTCTGCATCTCTTTGAGAGGCCCTGAAACTCTGTGAAGGATTACACTTCGGCTGCTGCTGAATATCAGGAAACTTAAATAGGTCGTCACATTTTTTTGGCAGGGAGGGAGGGAGGGAACTAACACATAATAGCAGAAGTCACCCATGCAAATACTAACCAGGCCTGCTTAGTTTCTGAGATCAGATGAGACGCAGTGAATTCAGGGCGATATGGTTGGAGTTGACAAAATTAGATGTGTTATGTACACGTATGAACTCTCCATGAGGAATGTAATTATGTACTATAAGCATGTACTATTGAAAGAATAAAAAAACTCAAGAGGAAAAATGAAAATAAAAAGTGTAGCTCAATGGTGAGGCCTTTGGGTGAGACAGACTTCAATTGTGTCCACATTCTGCATTTATAAACTATGTGACTACTTTTAATTTCTTGGGTCTGTTTCCTTATCTGTAAAATAAAATGAAGCTTCTAGCTCATAATACTATTTATGTTAATGTAATAATGCCTCTAGTGCACTGGTGATGGTTATCTTTGCTCATAAAATAACCATTATATCCATGTAATGATTATTGAGCAGTATATCGTGAGTACTATGCTCAGAGACTTTTGAGTTCTCATTTGATCCTTCAAAAAATTTATGGTCAGGGATAGTTCTTAATTTGTGGGGCTCAGTTCAAAATGAAAGTGTGGAGCCTCAGTTGAAAATTAAGAATTTCAAGACAGGGACAGTGGTGTATTCAAGCATAAAACCCTGTGTAATTGTATAAGTTACACGTCCATGAAGCCAGACGTGCCAAAAGGGTAGGTAGTATTTTAGTTCTCTTTTATTTTGGTCCATCAAGAAAAACTAAGGAACTAAGAAACTAGTCAACACACAGCACAATCTGTCCTGTATTCTTATCATCTTTCACAACATTCAGACTCTATTAGCAAGGAGTTTGATTTCCACCTCGCAAGTGAACTAACACTTAGGGATCACCATGTGCTTTCTATGAGACACTTCATATATACCTTATCTTACTCAACCAACAATGCCACAAAGCCTGTGTCTTAGACTCAACTTACAAACAAGGAAAGTAAATCCCAGTAAGGTTAACAACACCTAGCCCAACTCCTAGGAATGGGTAAGTCTAAGAGCCTGAGCTTAGCATCCCACTCAAACTCCCATCCGATCCTTTGTTAGCCTTTCAACCTCCACATACATATTTACAAAAAAACAGTAAGGTCTACAAAAGGTCCGTGATATTTTTGCTCCTGGACCAGACAATCTGAACCAACACACCCAGTTAAAAATAAATTCATGCACAGATCTGTGAACAGCATGGTTATAAGGATGTTTCTGATATTATCTACTATAGCAAAAAAAACTAAAGGAAATCATTTAATAATTATATGAATAAATATAGCATAAATTTATGCAAAACCTTTGCTATCATTTAGAATATACTATAGAGAATATGTAATGACACACAGGACTGACTGAATTATAAAAGTAAGGTTATCAAACAATAAGTATGAGTGTATCAGGTTGTGTGTGTTGTGTCCTATAGAGACCTATGTATGACATACGTGTGTATATGTTAACTGACTGTGCTATGGTCTGAATATGTCTCCCCAAATTCATGTGTTGGAAATAATTTCCAATGCAGTCTTTCAGAAAATGTTGAGTTCAATGGATACATGCTGCTATACAAAGGGTGCATGGAGTGGATTTGCTGTCCTTTCCCTTCTGCCCTCCACCATGTGAAAATGCAGTGAGAAGACCCACACCAAATGTAGATGTCGTTATCTTGGACTTCTTAGACCCCAGAACTACGAAGAAAAAAAAAATCTGCCTCTGTAAATAATTTACCCAGCCTATGGTATTATATTTCAGTGGCACAAAATAGACTAATACTGCACAGAAAATATAGATACAAAACAGACAAGTGTGTTGCTACCAAACAGGATATGGTCCAAAGGACATGGCTGAGCATATTCCCTCACAAATCTTGTGACGAAAAGTGTGATAAGATTCAAGACATGTTACTCCCAATGGCACTTTGACATTTAAGGAAACAGGAGACACAGGCTGCCACAGCTTGGAAGTATAGCCCAGAGCTCCGTGTGCGAATGGTGTGCTCATTAGCCTATGGAACTCCTGGGAGGTGGTGGAACCTTAGGAGGTGGGACCTGCTGGAAGGAAGTTATGTCACCAGGGGTGATGTGTCCCATGAAGGGGATATTGGCAACTTTGCCCCTTTCCTGATGTTCTTTGCTTCTTGGCTGCTATAAGGTGAAGCCTGCTACATGCTTCTACCATAACACATGGCCTTACCACAGGCCCAAAAGCAATGAGCTAAGTAACCATGGACTGGAAGCTTTGAAACTGTACAACAAAATGACCTTTCTTGTTTTTAAGTTGACTGATTTCAGGCATTTGTTATGGTGACAGGAAGCTAACATAGAGGCCACAGAAACCAGAAAGAGTTCATCTTACTCCCTTTCCATAGAAATAGGCCATAAAACCTAGGTGACCTTCTAAAAATAGTTCAGAAAATCCTAATTTCAGAATGGTTCAGCTTTATACCCAAGAGAAAGGAATGTCATACTGGGATACCACGAAGATCCTGAACAAATAGTTCTGTGTCACCCCCCCCTCCTTGAGTTTACTATCTTAGATCATACATAAACCCTTTCAGCCTTCAATCATACCTATATATGATTGTCCATAAAATAGTTTCATTTGTTTCTTTGGATCATTTCTGAAGGGTTCTGTGTTTCATACAATGTACATCAAATCAATTTTATGCTTTTCTCTTATTTATCTTCTATTATTAAGGTCATCAGCCAGAACTAACAATGCCTTATGTACACACATTTTTTTCTCTCTCCTACAAGGGGAAATGTGCAGAGTTCCAAACACTTTGTCTCCAAGTAGGAGGACAAGTGGGCCTTTGGGTGTTGCTTTAACCAGGTACCCTGTACCCTTTTTTGTTGGTATACACTTGCCTGGGCAGTTGTATCAGAAGATCTGTTAAAAAGAATCTGTTGAGGCAGATACTGTACCTGCAGGTTAGCTGGCAGCTCCTCAGCTCTTTTGATATCTGCAGGGGCCGCCTCATTTCTAACTCCAAGGATGTACAGGTTCAAAGGAGACTTACATTTTGGGTCTCCTGTTCCTTTACATATGAAGTCCTTCACAATCTCAAGACACTGCTGGCTTTCTCCCAGGATAACAAGTAGGTACTGTACTTCGTTAAATCTAAGATGCCATTTATTAGATGCACCATTATCTCATTGTCCCTAAGCAATAGAAGACAAGCTTCTAATTAAACTGTATATAACACTTTCTTAACCATTGTGAATTTTTATTTTATTCTTTTTGGAAGAGTTCCTTTAGACTTAGGATAAATTTTAAGTA